CTCAAAAAAAAAAAAAAAAAGAGAGAGAGAGTAACTGAGCCCACTGAGTCATTTGCAAGACGTTCCAGGGGTGCCACAGTGATAACAAAACTGGCTCAGGGAACAGAGAAAGGGCCTGGGGCCACCCCTGCGTTCAGAGACTGTTCTAGAAACACGCTGGATGGGTTTGGCCTGTGCATTCCAGTCCTGCTCTGTCCTCAGAAAACCCTGGGATTCCTCAGGATGGGGCATCTGTCGGTTGCCAGGATGCAAACCCAGGCCCAGAGAGGGGAGGGGACAGGTCCAGGCCACACGGTGGCCAGTGGCCAGGCCAGGATCTGCACCCAACCTCCTGAAGCCCTGGGCAGGGAACCCTGCTACCCACCGGCCACAGGGAGCGAGGATGAGCTGGTCCCGGAGACCTGGTGGTCTGCGCTGGGCCACTGCTCGGCTCAAGCCTCAGTTTCCCCACTTGGTGGCCTCCAGGACGCCCTCTCCCCCCCATCCTGGGACCCTGGGGGAGGGGAAGGGAGGGGAGAGGGAAGACCCAGGTTCCTCCTCACAGTGTCCAGCCTCAGCCTGGCCCCCGGCTTAGCTGCTAACGTCCCTGCCTGGGTGTCCAGGGCATGGCACATGGCAGGTGCTGGGTGACCACGTGGGGGGCCAATGAATGAGTGGAGAGCAGAGCCTCACCTGCAGCTTCCCGGCCAGTGCGTGCCTGTCCCCCTGCCCTTCCGTGCGCCAGTGGAGACGGGAAGGGGCCGGGTGGACTCCTGGACGCTGACTCCCCCAGGCACCCACCAGGCTGGCCCGGGGGCTGGCGTGGGGCCAGGCCTGGGAAGCCCCTGAGGCTGGAACCCCACTCCCTCCAGGGCAGCCTGGACAGGGAGGAAGGAGCGGAGCGTGGGGAGGCTGGGACCTGACAGAGGAAGCTGGACAGCACCCCCAAGCCTCCCAGGGAGGGGCCCCAAGCCTCAGAAGGGGGGTGGTGGGAGGTGCTGGTGCTCCTTCCTCCAGAGGCTTGGCGAAGCTGCTGGTGTGGCCTCAGAAGGCATCTCTCGGGGCAGTGGCAGGAGCCCGTGAGTGCCTCCTTTCTCAGGAGGCCAGGGCACAGCCAGCTGAGGACACGCTCTGCTGGGGTCCTATCACCTATGTCTTCCTGGGGTCATTTCAGCTGGGCTGCCAAAGTCACAAGACATAGTTCCAATAACTCCCATTCGCTCTTAGAGTTCTCAAGTGTTCACGTTTACTCCTTTTGCTTCTGTTTCTCTCTCTCTCTCTCTATGTATTTTTTTTCTGAAGTTTTTGGAATAAATTGCAGACACGATGCCCCTTCATCTCGAAAGGCACCCATATTTCCTAAAACCAGGACATTCTTGGGCACAGCCGCAGGACAATTATTTCAGTAGTAATCTCCTGTTACCTCATCCACGAGCCTCATTAAAGTCTTGTAATCTGTTCCAGTCGTGTCCTTCATGGCAACAACACCACCACCGCTGGGTGCGGTGGCTCACGCCTGTAATCCCTCCAAGGTGGGAAGACGGCTTGAGGCCAGGAGTTCAACACCAGCCTGGGCAACATAGCAAGACCCCTGCCTCTATCTAACCAAAAAGACAGTACCGGGTCATGCCTTGTGTTCCATTGCCGCCCCGCGAGGTGCCTTTTAATCGGGAGGGTTGCTGTTTGGGAGAATATTGTTGGGTTTTCTTGGAATGTCCTTCAGCTCGGGGGCAGCTATTGCTTCTTCACGATCACCTCGGGAATCTGGGAATCCCGTGGATGCAGCATGTCCCTTTCTGTGCCTGGCGCCAGTGGCCCACGGTGTCCGTTTGTCTCGTGACTGGGGAGCTAATGAGGTTCCTTGGCTAAGGGGTGTCTGCCAGGTCCCTTCACTGTGCAATCACCCTTCCTTCCCTGCGACCGGTCAGGAGCCCGTGAGAAGACACCCTGAGCCTATGTGAATATCCCCGTTCCTAGCAGGCTCATACAGCGCCAGTGCCGCCGTGGCTGAAATGACATCCGTCAAGCAGGATGCCAGACGGCGGCTGTCACATGTGCCACCTCCCGCATTCACCAGTCGGCTTTCTAGCACGAGGATGCTGTCCCCCGTTACCGTATATGTGTTAGTGTGGACTCAGGCACCGTTAACTCTTTCTCTGGACGACCAACGTTGTTTGTCATTTTGATGTTCAAACTGCCCTAGATTTGGGACTCAGACTGTCTCTGTCACTCTGTGAGCATGTCCTTGCTTTCTGGGACGCTGGACATACCTGGCTCCTCTGGCCTTCTCCCTGCCACGGTCCCGCAACCAGACATTTCTCCAGGGAGCCCCAGCTTCTGAAGTGGGGGTGTGTTTAGAAGCTAAGAGCTCCGTATGACTCTTTCAATCGGACAGACATCTCTGGGCTCCTGCTGCAAGCCCCAGGCTCGGTCCTGGGGAGGCCTGTGAGTTTCGCTCTAGCCACCTGGCGCAGCAAGTGCGTGGCCTGGGTAGACCACAGGCAGTCAACACACGCTGGTGTGAAATGAGCACCACTGTGATGCAGCGTCCAAGGCTGGTGTGGCCCAGCCACGCCCCTGGCTCTCAGTGAGACGTCCCGGAGGCCAAGAGGACTGCCTGTGCTGACGTTCCATGCACTTGACTGCAATCGCAGGCTTTTCCAAATCGGGTACCCCTGGGTCCTGAGCCCAGAGGAGGAAACACCGCAGGACAGAGCCAAGAGACCCAGGCCAAGACGCAACACTCTCGGGGGCCAGAGAAGGGACCCACCAGCAGAAGACCGAGAGCCAGCGGGGCCCACTCTCAGCTCCCTTGGGCACAGGCAGCGAGGCTAAGCCTGCATGTGGGGTCCCCACGGACATCCACGTCCTTATCCCCAGGCCCTGTCCACGTGCGGCCATGCGTGGCAAAAGGGACTTTGCAGATGGGATTAGGCTGAGAATGTTGAGATGCGGAGATCGTCCTGGAAGGTCTGGGTGGGCCCTCAGGGTAACCACCGGGATCTCTATGGGGGAAGACAGAATGGAGAGACAGATAAGGAGACACGGCCCCAAAAGAAGATGTGGAAGCTGGGCCCAGGAGCCAAGGGGTGTGGGCGTCCCTTGAGCAGGAAAGGCAAGGACAGATTCCCCTAGAGCCTTGGAGGACAGGCATTGCACACCTTCCTCTGAGCCCGTGAAACCCCTGGGAACCCATGCAAGGCCACAGCACAATAGCAAATGTACACGGCTCTGTCCTCCAGGGCGTGGGTGAGGCTGGAGGAAGGCGGTGGCGGGGGACAGACACCAGGGCTAGTGCCTGGGGCTGGGGCCCGCTAGGAGCCCAGGTTGCTTGTTCTCCCCTCACCCTGGGAACCTGCTGTGTGTTGCAGAAGCAGCTTCTCCCCGGGGTGTCCCTGGGCCTGTGGCAGAGACCCCTGTCGGCCAGAAGGGAGTATATCCCACAGGTAAGCAACCTGCACCCCACTCTGTCCTGGGCTTCCGTTTCCACCCTGGAGTGTGGTGCTCCCGGGGCTTCTCAAAGTGGCCCCAGATTCCTGCCTTAAAAATCACTGTGGGGTCGGACGCGGCGGTTCACGCCTGTAATCCCAGCACGCTGGGAGGCGGAGGCAAGCGGATTGCCTGAGCCCAAGGGTTCCAGACCAGTTTGGGCAACTTGGCGAGACCTTGTCTCCACAATAAATGAAAAAAAAAAACAAAACTAGCCGGGTGTGATGGCGCGTGCCTGTAGTTCCGGCTGCTTGGAAGGCTGAGGCGGGAGGATCGCCCGAGCCCAGCAGGTCTAGGCTGCAGTGGCCGTGAGTGTGCCACTGCACTCCAGCCTGGGCGACAGAGGGAGACTCCAACTCAGAGAAAAATCACTGTGGGGTGCAGGAGGGGCTTGTTAAATGCAGGTGCCCAGAGCTTCTGAGGCAGAGGGGCAGAGGCAGCACCTGGGACTCTGCATTTCTACCTGGGGCGGGAAGGCCACTGAGTCTAGGCACACAGCGTGACTCAGGCAAAGGCGTTCCCTGGGCCTGCCTGTCCATATCAGCCCGAGTGGACAGGCGCCCCTGGAGGCCCGGGGTGATGCTGTGGGGAGGGGCTTTGCAGGTGGATGTGGGAAGAAGTAGACAAAAGTGCCCCGTGGGGGGGACTCCGAGGACGGGCAGGGTCTCCACTGGCCGCGGAGGGAGGGAGGCTGCCCCGTGCAGGAGACCGTGCACACAGAGGGCCGGGAGCTCCAGGCTCCAAAGCAGGAAGGTGTCCCTTACTTGGAGGACCCCGCCCCAGCTGTGGGGCCCGGAGACCCCCGCGCCCGGCCTTTCACCTCTGCCTTTGCTTTTGGATGGTCCGCGCTGCCTTGGCCACCCCGGACAGCCAGGACGGGTGGGGCAACACAGATTTATTCTGGGTTTGCAATGCAGCGCCCACCCCCTTCCGAGAGCAGGAAATTCAGGCTGTCACAGCTCAGCGTGGTGGTGAAATTCTCCACGGAGTCCAGATTCCAGAAACCTCCATGCTCAGACACTGGCCCTTCCCCCTCGGGAGTGAGGTGTTCACTCCAGGGTCCCCAGGCCAGAAATTTCCAAGGCAGGTGCTCCAGGCTTATTCAAAGGGGGTAGAGGAGAAGTCGCTGTCTCTGCTTCTCTGTTTCTGCCTCCTCCCCACCCCTCCCCCTCTTCCCTCTCCTTCCCCTCCCCCTTCTCTCCCTTGGAGACCCCCCCACACTTTAGAGGGCTCTCAGCCCCAAGAATGCCACTGCCAGGGATGCCCGCTGAGTCTTGACCTCGAAGAAGAGGAAGCGGCTTATATTCTCAACATGTCCAGACTGCTAGGCCTGGACAGTGCAAGGGACGGACAGGGTCGCAGCCCCGGGAGCCCGGATTCACAAGGAAAGTCGCGGCCCCCGTAGATATCAGGAGAGGCGGCTCTCAAGAGGGCGGCGCACCCCGTGGCTGGTGGCCACGGTGCGGAGCAGCAGATAGAATGTCCTTCCGTCCCTGCAGAAAGTTCCTTGCACAGCGTGGCATGGGGGGCCGGGCGCCCGGGCGGATGAGTCAGGGTGTTGGCATGGGTCCCTCTGGCTCTGAGTGGACAGGAGGATGGACTGGAGGGAAGATGGACTGCAGGGAGGGCCAAGGGCCATGGCTGCCCAGGACAGACCTAGGGGCCCGGGGCCATAATGGAGGAGAGCAGGATAGGGCTGAGGGGGGAGCCCTGGGATTCCCTGGGGAGCTGATGTGCTCTGTGAGGGAGGGAGTGTCCTTCTAAGCAGGGGTAGGGGCTTTGGAGAGATGGGGAGGGAAGGGGGAGGAGCCAGTGTAGGAGCGTGGGCTTGAGATTTCTGAGGTGACTGTGGGGTGTTGGCAGGAGAGAGGATGCTCCCAGCGTCCTCCAAGTCCCCCCTTAAAATCACAGCGGGAAGGCTGGGCATGGCGACTCACACCTGTAATCCCAGCACTTTGAGAGGCCGAGACTTTGAGAGGCTGAGGTGGGAGGATCACTGGTTCAAGACCAGCTGGGCAACATAGCAAGACTCCATCTCTACAACAAAATGTTAAAAATCACTGTGGGGGTGGGGAGGCTTGTTAAATGCAGGTACACAGGTCTTGCGCCCAGAAGTTCTGATTCAGCAACCATCTGGCCCTGGGAGCTTGGAAGGCGCAGCCGGAGGTCCCTGTGACCAGGGACCCGACGCACAGTGTTGCTCTGAGCCTGCCTGGCCTGGAGGGAACACGAGTTTCCTTCCACCAATCCCTGTGTTGGCCAGGCCCTCGCAGCCACAGAAACTGAGGCTGGGGAGAGCCAGCCGGGCAGGTCTTTAGAGGAGGCGGGGGGGGCCTGGGGAGATTTAGGCTGGGTCTCTCCTCCCCTTGGACCTCCTGCCTGGGCCTCGGGCGTGGGTTTTGTGGGAGGAAGGCTGCAGGGAGGGGCCGTGCCCACGTATCCCTCTGCCGGGGCCCGGCTCGCGGCCTGACCTCACTGGGCCCTTCCAGACCTGACCCTGCAGCTGCTGGCCGTGCGGAGGAAGGGTGGGCGGCGGGACCCCAGCCTGCAGCAGGCCCTGCGTGCCCGACTCCGCCTGCTGGAGAATGACAGCCGGGAGGTGGCCCGCGTGCTTGGGGTGAGTGTCCCCCTGGGGTCCGGGCAGGGGTGCGGGGATGCTTCGCTGAGGGGTGCAGGGGCGCGGTCCTGAGACCAGGGCAGAATGGAAGGAGAGGGAGAGCCTCTTGGAAGAGGAGTGAACCCTTGCAGGGGAAGACAGCGATGTCCTCCAGGACCCAAGTGGGCTGGGGACAGGCCAGCCCTCCCACTCCCCTCCTGCGGGGGTGCCGCCTCACCCGCCCGTCTGCCGTCCTGCAGCCCCTGCACGGGCGGACCACCGCGCCATCCCTTCCTTGAGCTCCTGGGCTCAGGCGACCCTCCTGTCTCAGTCTCCCGAGGAGCTGGGACTACAGGCATGTGCCACTGTGCCCAGCTAATTTTTAAAAAATTTTTGTAGCGATGGGGTCTCACTATGCTGTCCAGGCTGATCTCAAACTCAAGCGGTCCTCCCATCTTGGCCTCCCAAAGTGCTGGGATTATAGGTGTGAGCCCTCACGCCCTCTGAAGTTGATATTATTTTTGTTGTGGTAAGAGGCCAGCCCCTTGTGGGCCTTTGCACAGACCAGGGTTCTGGAAGAGGACAGCTCAGGGTGTGTCTGGGCCCTGCAGACCCCCCGCCGTGGCCAAGGGCCTAGGGCTCAGGAGCCAGTCGGGTGTCACCGTCACTGACTTGGGGTCCGATGGGCCTGGCCTGGCAGATGTCCCTTAGCCTCTATGGACTCCGAGTCCCTCACTGCATGTCAGGGACGCTGGAGTTACAACCCCAAGAGCTGATGTGAGGGTTGAGTGAATAACACACACGCAGCGCCCCGCAAGGTGCCTGGGCCATAGTAACTGCCCAACACATGGGACTGCCATGTGTGAGCCTGGTGGGGGGGCCCGACTGGCTCAGTGCTGGGCTGCGTTCGAATCCCGGCTGAGCCACTTGCAGAGGGTCAGAGCTCAGATGAGAAACGGGGCCTTATTTTTCTTCTCTCAAATGGAGAGTGTAGCCCTCTTCCCCTGCCGCACACGGTAGTTGTAAGTGCTCCGTGTTCCCTGGCGTCATCGGCCACGCTTCCTTCGCCACCCACGGATGACAGTCAGGGAAGAGAGGATGCCAGGGTCAGACTTGAGACCTGAATCAGAACCACATCGCTCAGGGCAGAGAGCGCAGCCTGAGCAGAGACCGAACTGCAACAGGAGAGCCAGGGTTCCTTCCAGGCAGAGGTGTCAGGGAGGAATGGCCGTGGGGCGGGGGCATATGGAGCCACGGGGCCCTGGGACCCTGGAGGAAGTGTGGGCTCCATCCCCCCCGGCCCTGGGGAGCCGCAGCCAACTCGAGGGCGGGAGAGGCACTGCCTTGGGCCGCACAGGCCCTGCCGGGCCACCCTTGCAAAGTGCCTTGGGGTGGTAGTCTACACCCCGTCCTCTTGATGGCCAGACCCCCAACGCCCTAGGAGCTTCACTGAGTCCGACTTCTTACGCTTAAGGAATTATCGGCCAGGCTGCTGTCCATCCACAGCGACCAGGACCGGATCGTGGTGATGTTTAAGACTTTCGAAGAGATCTGGAAGTTCTCAACCTACCACGCGCTTGGTAAGGAGGGAACCCTCCCGGCAGCGGTCACAGGGCAGAGCACCCTGGTCACACACCAGGCACTGTAAGCGACAGATCGGTGCCTTGGACTAGGCTTGTTCGCCAGGGCCTTGCAGGAGCGAGGTGCGCACCTGGTTCTCAGGGAGAGACTCCATGTGGGCAGCGCCCTAGGCGGACCGGGAGATAGAGTTCGGCCGAGATGCTGGTTTCCTTCACATGCCGTCCCGTGTGATTTCACTCTCCCAGGATTTGAGGGCCGTCGGCTCCCGATGGCCTCAGCTCAGACCGGGACATTCCGCTGTTTAACTTGACCCCTGTGTCTTCTCCCTGAAACATTCCCTGTTCTATTCGGAGTTGTGTCCTTGGGGACCTCGCGACCCCCACCCCCTCAGTTTGAGCACTGAGGACGCTGGGGAATAAGAAATGCAGTGACAGTTGCCAGGTACAGTGGCTCACGCCTGTGTTGTCAGCACTGTGGGAGGCAGGAGGATTGCTTGAGCTCAGGAATTCAAGACCAGCCTGGGCAACATAGAGACCCAGTCTACACAAAAATCAAAAATTTAAAAAAGTAAATCTATCTAAAAAAAAAACAACAACACGTAACTGGGTGCAGCGGCTCATACCTGTAATCCCAGCACTTTGGGAGGCCAAGCCGAGAGGATTGCCTGAGTCCCGGGATCTGAGACCGGCCTGGGCCACTTGGCGAGACCTCGTTTCTGCAAAAAATCTAAAAATGAGTCGGCCTGTGGCTGCAGCTACTTGGAAGGCTGAGGCGGAAAGATCACCCGAGCCCAGCAGGTCGAGGCTGCGGTGGCCGTGAGGATGCCACTGCGCTCTAGCCTGGGCAACAGAGCGAGACTCCGACTCAAAAAAAAAAGACTTGTGGTGATGATTTCCCCAGCACCTGCACAGATGAACACCTTGGACAGGTTCTAGAAGGTGGGAGCTCTTCCTGGCTCCCCCTACAGCACCTGCCATGGGGTCCATCCAGGAGGCAGCAGTCTTCCCTGGCCCCTCACGTCAGTGTCCACTCTAATCTGAGACTAGAGAAGGAATGTCCCCTATCCTTGGCCCTTCCTTACCTATGGATGGGAGGCCTGGACGGGAGGATCAATTGAGGCTAGGACCAGCTGGGCAACATAGTGAAGACACGACTCTACAGGAATTTTTTAAAATGTATTTCATCTATTTATCTTTTAGAAACAGTGTCTGACTCTGCCACCCTGGCTGAAGTGCAGTGGTGCGATCATATCTCACTATAGCCTTGAATTCCTGGACTCAAGTAATCCTCCTGCCTCAACCTCCCAAATAGCTGTGACTACAGGTGCATGCTACCATGCCCAACTAACTTGTTTTTTTGTCTCACTTTGTTGCCCAGACTGGCATGCAGTGGCATGCTCACGGCCCCTGCAGCCTCGACCTGCTGGGCTCGAGTGATCCTTCTGCCTCAGTCTTCCAAGTAGCTGGAACTATAGGCATGCGCCACCACATCTGATTTATTGTAGAGGTGAGGTCTCGCCAAGTTGCCCAGGTTGGTCTTGAACCCCTGGGCTCAGGCAATCCTCTCACCTTCACCTCCCAAAGTGCTGGGATTACAGGCATGAGCCACTGCCCATGACCTAATTTAAAAATATATATATACTTTGTGGAGGCAGGGTCTTGCTATGTTGCCCTGTCTGTTCTCAAACTCCTGGCCTCAAGTGGTCCTTGCACCTCAACCTCCCAAAGTGCTGGGATTACAGGAATGAGACACCACATCTGGCCTCAAAAAAACACCTTTTTTTTTCTTGAGTTGGAGTCTCACTCTGTTGCCCAGACTGGAGGGCAGTGGCCACTCCCGGCCACCACAGCCTCGACCCGCTGGGCTCCGGCGATCCTTCCGCCTCTGCTTTCCAAGGAGCCAGAATTACAGGCGCGCGCTACCACGCCGGGCTGATTTTTGATTTATTGTAGAGACGAGGTCTCGCCAAGTTGCCCAGGCGGGCCTCGAACCCGTGGGCGCAGGCAATCCACTCACAGCCTCCCAAAGCACAGGATTACAGGCTGAGCCACTAAGCCCGACAGAAAAAACCCTTTTAAATGGAGGGAGCCCGCGCTGCCTGCTTGTTAGGTATGTCGATCAAAGGCTCATTGGCCTAGACAAGTAGGAGGAGATCACTGCACCCCATAAATGAAGCATTCACTGGATAGAAGTGAAAAGAGAGAAACCCAGCTGACCGGGCAGGGCCCAGGCATTCCAGGCATTTGTTCTTCTGCTCCCTGATGGCCCACACAGGCCTGTGCCCTCGTAACCCGCGTCTTGCTGATGAAAACTCCAAGGCACGAGGAGGTTGGAGGACTTGACCTCGGTCACAGCTAGTGAGTGATGGGGCCAGGCTTGGCCTCGCAGCCTGGACGGTCAGGCCGTGAGCCGATGAGTGTGGTCAGTGCCGTGGTCTGCACCGTGGGCACTCCCAGGGCAAGCAGGTTGTCACCAAGGGTCTCCCTGGGACCGGCCAGCGTGGAGCTCGGCCAACACTGGACCACCCGGGCCGCCCTGCCACTGTCTGGAGCCCACGGGTGACTGGGTCTGGCCTTCCAGGGTTCACACACCACTGTCTGGAGAACCTGCTCGTGGACCAGGCCTTCTGGCTGCTCTCGCCCGATGAGGAGGAGGCGGCGGCCATCCGAGTGCACGTGGATGAGGACGCCTTGAAGCGGACCCATGAGAGTCTTCTGGTCCAGGAGGGTGAGTTGACCTGACCTTGGACTTGGGCGGCCAGGGGTCACGTGCCCTAGCTCTGTCATGAGCTGTGGAGACCCTGGCGGGCCACAAAGACACAGAAGAACCACGGAAGAGAGGTTTCTTTGTTTTTTTTTCGTTTTTTGAGTTGGAGTCTCACTCTGTCGCCCAGACTGGAGTGCAGCGGCCACTCCCGGCCACCGCAGTCTTGACCTGCTGGGCTCCGGCGATCCTTCTGCCTCAGCCTTCCAAGTAGCCGTAACTACAGGCGTGTGCTACCACGCCCAGCTCATTTTTGATTCATTGTAGAGATGAGGTCTCACCAAGTTGCCCAGGCGGGTCTCGAACCCATGGGCTCAGGCAATCCACTCCCCTCAGCCTCCCAAGGCGCGGGATGGCAGGCTGAGCCACCGAGCCCAGCGGAAGAGAGGTTTTGTTGACTACCAGCCCCCACGATGAATCCCTGACTGGGGGGCCACATTGGTCTCACGGGAGATGCTGAGTCCGAGGAAAGTGGACAGAAAGCCCCTTTTCCTGCCCTGGTCTCAGCAGAAAAGAGGGCCCACCCCACAGTGGCTGGACTGGCTGGTGGCGGTCCACGCAGAAGGGCCCTGAGAGCACACGCCTGGCCTCAGAAGCACAGACAGGGAAACTGAGGCCCAGAGAGACCTTCACGGGGCGTGTCGGTCAGAGCTGGGACCCCACCCTGGTCCTGGCCTCCTGGTCTGGGCTCCTTTGGGCTTCTGTGGCTGTAGACATCGGGGGCAGGGGCCTTTGTGGGCACCGCGTTCACCCTGTGTCCCTGGGTGGGGGATGACGGTGGGTCCCGCCGGGCAGGACTGCAGCTGCCCAGCTCTGGCCACCTCGAGTGACCACCTCTGTCCCTTCGAAGGACCCTTCTTCGTGCTGTGTCCTGACCACCATGTGAGAATGATGACCGGACCCCTGGGCGCAGGGAAGGGCCCCCAGCCCCTCAGGCGGGCTTCGGGGGGTCCCCAGGGAGAGGCAGCCCCAGAAGCAGACCCCTGGCCGCCGGGCCCTGGCGTGTCCTCCGAGGAGGTGGCAGCGGCGGCCACCCCGGAACCTCTGATTCCGTTCCATCAGTAGGTACCGACCTCTGCTGCCCTGCATGTCGTGGGTCCTCCAAGATACTCCCCGGGCTCCAGTCTGCCTTGGGGCTGGGGGGGTGGACAGAGACCTGGCTGTCCCTGGTTGGGGGGCCTTGGCAAGTCTGTCCACCTCTCTGGGCCGCTGGCCTGACACCTGCCTGATGGGGCAATGGCATCCACCTGGCGGGGCCATCCTGGGGTCAGATGGCACAGGACAGCGTGAGCTCTCCAGACGCGGCCTGAGAAGGTTTTCAGGGAGCTATGTGACATGTGAGGGGCACATGGATGCCACACAGACAAAAAAAAACAAGGGCAGGCAGAGTCAGGAAATATGAGGACGGGTGGCAAGTAAGCTCTTGTTCACTTGCTGAAAGTGAGGCACAAACTTGGTTTGGAGCCTCCTGGCAGGCAAAGAAAAACTCAGTAGCTGGACTTGCAGGGTCTGGAGTGACAGGCGGCGGCTCAGTTTCTCTCGTTACTGAGCCCCGAGCAGAGTTTCTCTCCAGGATTCTCCTGTGTGCTGTGGCCAGTGGTGTCCCAACAGGGGACACCGAGCATGCTCTTCTGCCATCTGGGAAGGAGGGACTGTCAGTCACCTAGCCCAGCTTCTTGTCCAGCTGAAAGAACCGAGGCCCAGAGAGAGGAACAATTTGTCCAGGTCACATGGCGAGCTCCCAGGAGGGCCAGGGTTGGAATCCAGACCCCCTAAGCCCCAAGGTGGGGTTCCCCCACCTTTCATAGTGCTTGGCTGCAGGGGGCAGCTGTCTCGGGGTCTCCTGGCATGCAGCATCTCAGCTGGGGGCTCCCCGGAGACAGTGCCACACGCATTGGGCCCGGAGGCCGCACGCGTGGGCGTATGCATGCACACGTGTCTGCTGGGGGCGGGCCAGAACTGCTCAGGCCTCTGGGGGGCTGCGGACCTGTCCAGTCTCTGCACAGAATGTATCTGCCCCAAATCTGAAATCCTGCAGCAAAGACCTCCCTCTCCTGGCTCCAGGTGGGCTCTTAGGGTCCCCTGGGACCCCGGCGACGACCCCATGGGTGGCCCTGTGACATCTGACACCCCACGGATGGGTGAGTGTTTCTCTGAGCCTCCTCCCTGGGGATGGGTGGACAGCACCAGGTGTCTGGGGGATTTTCTTCTTGCCCTGAACCCTCCCAAGCCAGAGAGGTAGCCGGGTCCTCTCCGGGCTGCCATGTCATAACAGACTCGCACAGCGCTCAGGGAAGCCGTGCAGGCCACGTGTCACTGTCCCCAGAGCTCCCGAACATAACCTCAAGTCGACTTGACGAGGCCATGCTCCACACCTGGAGGGCCCTGGGACAGGCGGGCTGGACCCTGGCTGGGTTTGCCACGTGCACAAGGGAACTGAGAAGCAGACCCGGGCCCTGGTGCTGGCTTTCTGTGGAAGGCCGCTTCTGCTGGAAGCCTTTCCGCCTGGACTCCAGATCCAGTGCTCTCTGTGCTGCGCCTAACCTCGAGAGTGGACAACCTGTGTTCAGTCCGATGGACGTAGAGCCCCGTGGGGGTGAAAGGCTGGGGCTAGACTGGACTTACAAGTACGAGGACATGGGGAAGGAACCCCAGCCTTGGAGGCCGATGGCCGGGCCGAGTTAATGAATGCCCCGAGCCTAGGTTTCTCATCTTCAGTGGAGGGATAAAACACCTCTGAGTACCCCGTAGACGTCCAGCCCCTTGTGCTGTGGGGACCCAGCTTCCAAAACTCTCCCGTGCGTCTGGGGTGGCGGAAGGTGGCCCTGTCTGCACCCCGCTCTGTCCCCCAGCACTGACCGTGCGGTCTCTTTTTGCAGCGGTGGGCCTGGCCTCAGCAGTGGCAGACTGCCAGGGCTCCGGGCCCGAAGAACTGACGTTCCAGGCCAGCGACCTCATCGAGCTCCTCGGGGTGCAGGTGCCTGGCCTGCCCTGGTGTGTAGGCCGTCACACGGCCTCGGGCCAGGTGGGGTTTGCGCAGACCCGTCTCCTCAGTGCGCAGGGCTCTGTGTCCGGGTGAGTGGCCAGGCCTCTTGCCCCGAGCCGTCCCCAAGGCCCCTTCCCTTGTTAACGTCTGTCCAGCCCCCAAGGGATGAACCTGGTTGTGGCTCCGGCCACCCCTTTCTCCCTTCCACCGTCCCCTGGCTGGGTGCAAACTCAGGCCACTGCCCCTCGGCCCCAACGCCTGGCTCCAGGAGACCCTGGTGTCCTTCCTCCAAAATGCTGTCAGGAAGGGCTTCCCGTAATCCACACTTGCCCCTGGACCCGCTACCTGTGGCCCCGTCCCTGCAGGCTACTCTAAGATTTTTAGAGGTTTCTCAACAAAGTGCAATTCAAAGTTTTGTATTATTCTGGTAATTTAGTCCTATAAGTAAACACTTCCTCTTTCCTAACCCCCACCTCTACTCTTATCTTCTTTTTTTTTTTTTTTTTTGAGTCAGAGTTGCCCAGGCTGGAGTGCAGTAACAAGCTCACGGCCACCCCAGTGTCGACCTGCTGGGCGCCGGCGATCCTTCCGCCTCAGCCTTCCAAGTAGCTGGAAGTACAGGCGTGCATTGCCATGCCCAGCTAATTTTTTGATTTATTGTAGAGATGAGGTCTGGCCAAGTTGCCCAGGCGGGTCTCGAACCCGCGAGCTCAGGCAATCCACTCGCCTCGGCCTCCCAGAGCTCTGGGATGACAGGCTGAGCCACCGAGCCTGGCCCCTCTCATCTTCTCTTCCTCTGCTCAACTCTGCCCTTCCTCTTCCTGACTTTATGGGGCACACGAGTGCCCTGTGTTTGTGTTGGGTGCTGTGGGAAGCGCTGGCAGAGGCTGTAGGAGGAGCCCTGGGAGATTACAGTGTGGAGGGGTTGGTTCTGCCTGTGGCTGTCATGGCAGGTTTCATGGGGGAGGAGACATTCGAGATGGGGCTCTGAAGGCTGCCTAGGAGCTCACTGTCCCTGGACTCTGACCTGCTGCGTTTGCTGCAGCCGTTCCTGCTCCTGGTCGTCCGCCCCTGGCTCGACAGGGTGCCCCTTGAGGGCGAGATCTGTTTTATTTTTTACATCATTGTTTTTGCCTCTGGACACGGTGTTCCAGGACAGTCTGTCAGTGGGTCTTCTTGTAAAATGCTTACTCTGGAAATGCGTTATTTTAAGAAAGTACTTTACTTTTCCAGGTTGGAAGATGCGATTTTTCTCAGTGAGGAAGAAAGATCCTTCTTTAGCAACGAGGGCCGCTTCTCCGAGGAGGACGCCCGGCAGCTGCTGAGGAGGGTGTCGGGCACAGACGTGTGCTCCGTGTACAGCCTGGGTACATGCCGCGACCCGGCGGGGTGGCTGCTTCTCCCCTCCCCTCCCGAATGCTCCTTCATCCACGGACAGCTGGCAAACGCCGGCCCTGGGCACCGAGAGGTGGAGGGACAGAGGCCCTGGCGGCCTGTGGTGCCCGCAGGGGCCGAGATAGGCCAGGCAGGAGGGAGGAGCTGGGTGAGGACTGGACCTGGGCACGCGGCCCCAGGCTCCCTGCTGCCCCAGGACGGGCGTGGCGCAGGGCCCCCTGGGGCTGGGGGAGCGCACGGGCCCGTCTCGGTCTGCCGGGTGCTGGGGCTCCTCTGCCCACCGTGCTGTGCCCCAGCGTCCCGTGTGAGCGATGTTCTTCCTCACGGCGAGACAGCGAGCCCGGGTCTCCACGGCTGCAGGAGCGCCAGGGTGTCAGGGCCTCCTGAAGACAATGCCGTTCCTGTCTCACCTCCGTGCCCCTCCCGTGGGGAGGATTTCTTTGGGGGCTGCAGGGCAGAGCATGGGTGACGTGGCGTGTCGTCCGCGAAAAGAAATGTGACAGGGAACGTGGTCCCTGCACAAGCTGCTGTGAGCCGAGGGCACGGGGCCACAGGACCGTTCCTTTGCTGAGTGGAGAGGAAGCAAACACGCTCACACACCCACGTGTATGCCTATGTGTACACACAGACACAAACACGCCTGTGCACACATGAACACACACATATAACTGCACACACATGTATATGCACACACGGACACGCACATACACATGCACATGTACATACTCACATGCATGTGTGCACACATGGACACACATATGTATGCATGCATGCATGGACACACACGTATGTACACGCTCTTGGACACGCATGCCTGCACATGCATACATGTACACATATATGCACACATCCCCATATCTACACATGCATATGCACACACATACGTATGCGTGCACTCAGCACATATATGCATGCATACACGTATGTGGACATAGACATTTCTACACACACCTTTTGTCCTGTCTACTCAATGACATACATCATAAAACCTTTTTTTCCCGCCCCGTATGAGACAAACTTTTTAGGACAGTTTCTCTTCCTAAATGGACAATTTAAACCTGACCTTGGAAACCCACCGGCGCACCATCTCCCGTCTTTATTGGGAAGCAGAGTTGGGACCTTCACCTGGTGGGGATGTCTGTCGTGGGGGCCATCGCAGGCCAGGAGCTCCCCAGGGCAGGACGCGGGGTGCCCTCCGTGCCTGGACCGCGGAGCCTCCCGGAGCCCTGCCCCTGGCACCCTGGTTTGCGGCACCCCACGCGTCAGGCGTATTCCTCATCTGGTCTCTTTGAAGCCCAGCAAGCCGCTCGTGTCAGCCGCTTTAAGGGGGGGAAACTGAGGCTGCGAGGGGGCTGCCCTGGGATGGGGGGAGCACATGGGACTTGGACCCGCCCCCTCGTGTGCCCTGCGCCCAACGGAGGGGACGGGCGTGGAGGGGGGCTCCTGGGTGGGGAGCATGTCCCCTGTCCCCAGAGGACCGGAGGATGGAGCCCCACGGGGAGGGGGAGGGGCGGAGGACGGTGTCTCAGCCCGGAGACCCTGAGCCACGCTGCTCCCGTGGGGCTGTTAGGTGTGTCCTTCCCGTGCCGCCCTCCCAGCCGACATGGCCGGGACGCAGAGGCGCCGTCCGGGGCGTGACCGCTTTCTCTCCCTCTTCAGACACGTCGGAAGACGCCGAGATTGAGCAGCCGGGAGAACAAGGTGGGTTCTGCCCACAGGCTCAGTACTCCTCCAGTCGTGGCTGAGCCTCAGGGGTCCGGCTGGGAGGGAGGGGAGGGGGTCCTGGGGGAGGTGGTGTGAGGAGGGCCATCTCTAGGACGGGGCTCAGGCAGGGGTGCAGGCCTGGGGGCCCACGGCCCTCAGCAAGCATGCTGCACCCCTACCTGGGCCCCGTCCTAGGGGGCATCCCTGCGGCTGCAGCTTGGGGTGGGCGCCTTGCTGGCGGCCTGGAGGAGCTGAGGCCTGGCCCCTGCTCTGTTCGGAGAGGCCAGGCCGCCCCCGCCTTCGGGGCGGCTGCATTCAGAGTCCTGGGTTGGAGAGGCAGCCCGCCTCAACTGAGGTTGCCAAGGGTCCGTCCTTTCCCGAGGGGCTGGTTCAGGGAGACCCTCCCCACCTCCCCACCACGGCTCCGTCCCCTCCCCCAAACACAGTCCCCACGGGGCGAGCCTGGGGCTGTGGACACCCCAAGGGAGGCCCTTTGGGATCCCCTGGGAGTGGGATCTGAGCCCAGGGGCGCCAGGGCCACGCCCAAAGCGGCCCCGGGGCGAAGGCTGCTGCAGGGCCCAAGGACAGCTCTGCAGTCTGCAGGAGTCCCCGGAGCAAGGCTGAGCGCTTTCCTGGCTTTGGGAGCCTGCTGGCTTCTGGGGGCGGAGATTCCAGGCAAATCCAGCACGCTTGTGTTGGACGCCACCCCTAAACCATATTTACCTTTTCCTTATTCAAGGCTTTACAGATTCATAAGGAGACGGTCTGTCTTGAAAACATTTTTTGCCCTTGAGCTGAGCTCAGAACGGTCTGTTTAAACCCCGATTCCTTCCTTTCTGGTGATGCCCGGGAATCCCAGTTTTTCCAGCAGGAAATGTGGCGTGTTTGCTTGCCCGGCGGGACTTGGCTCGGGCAGCTGCGTCCACCCAAGGCGGCAGCGCCAGCAGGCAGCGGGGCGCCTAGCCTCGTTCACCCCGTGGGGACCATCGGCCTCGCGCTCTCAGACCACCCAAGGTGGAGGGTCACCCGGGGCACTGGGGCTTCTCCCATCTTCCTGCCAAGGTGGTCCATCTCCCCAGCATGGAGCTGGTCGGTGGACACAGTCCCCTGTCCCCTTCCACCACCGAGGGGCTAGCCATTTCCCGTGAGGCTGCTTTGGAGCTGATCAATAACTCCGATCGGCGGGTGATGATCTCATGGACTCTTTTGCCCACAGATGTGCTGACAAGTCACGTGCTTGGGGCTGCAACCCTAGATAGGAAAACGTCCCCCACAAGGTGGCTGTGATTCTTTCTGGGGGAGGGGAAATGCCCGGTGGGCCTGGAGCTGGGTTGCCAAAGGTCTCTTAAGACTGAGCGGCCAGGCCGGGCTCGGTGGCTCAGCCTGCAATCCCGCTTTGGGAGGCCGAGGTGGGTGAATTGCCTGAGCCAGCGGGTTCGAGACCCACCTGGGCAACTTGGCGAGACCTCATCTCTCTG